TTCCATTCACCGGTACCCACACATCTCTCTCAGATTTCCTTATTTGTGCTCTCTTCATAGCAACCAATGACCTCTTAACTGCTTCATCTAGTGGCTCTTTCTCAATCTTCATCCATCCCTAAATCTACGTAATAGCCCTCTTTCTGGAAGATATTTCTCTTCTGAGCTCTGGTTTTTAGTCATTATATAGTCAATTAGATGGTTTAGTTATGTAGTCATTATTTGCGTTCATTGTCTGCCTCATAGATAACCCCTTAGGCATCACAAGCCCACTACCTCCAATTCATTATCTCGCTCCTTAAACTGGCCCTTTCTCCCCAGATTTCTGTTTCTGTTGAGGATACCAGTGTGCCTTTCGGTGTCCTTCTTGGAGTCTTAATCCCAATCACCAACGTTTACAAGTTGTCTTTGACTCTGAGCCCCCCCCCCCATATTCAGTGGTTGTTAAGGCCTGACATTTCTACCTCCATAGTATAGCTCCCTTGCATCTCCCTTCCTTATTAACAGGGCCACCATCTATTTCAGGCCTTCATTATTTATCTCTGGACAAGTGCAGTAGCCTTCATAATGTTTCCTGCTTTCAGTCTGTCTTCTCTGTAATCCATCTTAGTCATGGCTGACCGTGTCACTCCCTTACCCCCAAACCTCCAATGGTTCTCAGTTGTTCTAGTTTAAAATAAAGGTTTTTTTAGCCTTTCACAGTCTGGGAAGAGAAGCATTTTATCAGCCTTATTTCACACCAGCTTCATTCATGAACTCCACATTGCAGCTAAACTGGATACCCCAATCTTCTGCTTCTATGTATTTGTATAAGCTCTTGTTCCATATTTCTGGATTCATTCCTTAACTTCATTTCAAGCTGCCATCTCAAAAGGCGGAGCCTTTTTTAGTTTTGACTTTGTATTCCTTATACTTTGGACAGAGTAGGCTTTAAATAAAGGTGCTGTATATTAAACTGAATGTAACTGAATTGTTCCACATCTTGTCTGCCCAACCCAGTTATAAAATCCTCCAAAGTAGGACCTTTTCTTATTCCCTTACTATCTCATACAGTGTTGGCACTCAACAGACAAGCCCCAATCAATGTGAGTAACGAATTTTGTAAAGTGGGAATAATGCACCCTGTGAAGTGGTTGCAGTTATTTGAGTTTGCACTGCATATTTCCATTGAGGCAGAGGCAGTTGCCACAGTTTCTGTAATTATAACTTTGAATACTGCAAATCCAAATACATGAGATCACTTCAAGGGGGTTAATTGTTTGTACTCCTCAGGACCACAGCTGTAAATACTTGTTGACTGACAGGAGAGTAAAACCCAGTGTTTTTGCTTTGAAAATTTATGGTAAGAGAAACTTTTCTTGGATTTGCCTTTTTTAAAATATTAAAATTATGTCAAGATTATCATACCCTTTTCTACTTTTTGTCTTGCTTCATGCCATTTCTATGCAAATATGGATTTTCACATTTGCTAAATTAAATATCAAAGAACCAATAGGAAAGTAGTACAAGCAGCAAATTTGCATCTTGTACCACTATATAATTTGTATGCAGATTGAGTTTGGATTATCTGATTATCCAATTCCTTTGGGAAGCCTTTGCCATCTGGAGGAAGTCTTCGGTTTCTGGGTTGTGGCCATTCAGTTGTCTTGGGCCTTATTCAGTTGTATTCTAGGGCCTCTTCCCATGCCACTTCTGAATTGCTCTCTTGGACATGGGATATAACAACTTGGAAGCCAGCTAGAGGATGCCCTTTAGCATTGACCTTAATTGTTAAAACTTCCCATTAAATAATGAACAAGGGTTTGGGCTAAGTGTCTGTGGCCTATGGAACATTCATTATTCATGAAAGTTGTCCCTTCATTAATGCACGCAACTAGAAGTTAAATGAGGCTGCGTTGTGTCAAGGCAGAATTTGTCTAAAGGAATTTGTACAAGTGCTGGGGGGACAAATGTCATGCCAGGCACATTGTGGTTTGTCTTTACCTGGCCTCCCTTCTTTGGATGATGTCAGACGCTGGCCATACTCTGAGTAGGTCTAGGGTTTGCTCTAGGGATTCTTCGCTGTCTCACCTTCCATCTTTTCACTTCTCTCTACTCACCTAGTCAAGCCTTCAATACCTCTCACTTGGACTAGGACAAGTTTCCATAGTGGTCCCCTCACCCCCTGTCTCTCAGTTCTCTAATGCATCCTTCATTAAGCTGCTGAATCGATGTTCTTAAGCACAGCTCTGACCATATCACTCCTGTGCTCAAGCATGTTCAATGGCTTCCAGTTATCTACAGGATAAAATACAGCTCCTCCTATTTGGTTGTTAAAGTCCCTCTCTGTGTGGCCTGGAAATCCTTCTCAGGTTATTTACACATTGCTCTGCCCTTCACATGCACCACATTCTAGCCAAGTGGCGTACTGGTCCACTTGCTGTTTCTGCGTATCTCTGGTGTTCTGTCTCTTGTATCACTGCTTTTACATAGAATGTGCCCTGCACTTATGTGAGTGCATCCTTCCTTCTAAGCTTCCTTCAAGGACCCATCCTCCACAAAGCTTCCCTTCGCTCTCCTCCATTATCTTGTGTTTACCTACCTGTGTTTCTGCTGCTTCCCTCTGATAGGATATAAGTTCTCTGAGGGCAGGGCTAGTGTTTTGTTTCATTTTCCTATCCTCAGGGTATATAGCACATTCCCTCACCTAGAAAGGCAGGTGCTTAGGGTGTTCCTTGAAGGTTTACCTTGGCTTATCTTGGACACAGTCATCATTTACAATAATTTCGTTAATATTACCAACACATTCTTCTGAATAGTGACATCCTGAGTTAGACTGTTAGCTGATGTTCTTCTTGACACGTCGTGTTCCTCTAACACTCATTTCACTTATTCCTGTTACCCTCATTTTGTCTAGTGTTTGCAGAAGCAGTGATAACATTACTAGATGTACTTAAGTCTTCCACTCCCAAAGCGATCTGTCCTACTTTATATGGGCCCAAATCCCCCTAGGAAGTCCCACCTGAGTTCCCTTGATGTTCTTAAGACCAGGAGTTATTTGTAGACAGGCTGGAACATGTCTGTCATACCATTTCTATGCAAATACAAATTTTCACATTTGCTAAATTAAATTTCAGATGACAAGTAGGAAAGTATTATGTGACAGTGAGCATCTTGTATAACCATGTAATTTGTATGCAGATTGATTTTGGATTATCTGATTATCCACTTCCTGGGCTGCTATGACTTGTCGTAGCTCTCTCTTCCCACCAGGAGTATAAGATACGATGGTGTCTGAAAACAGTAGAGACTTTTAAAACTCATGGAGTTGGCTGTGAAAGCTAAGAAGATAACTTAGACTGTGTTGTCTAATTAAGTTGTAAGCAGGACCTTGTCTGTTTAGGTGAAAAACCCCATGTGAAGGAAAGCTTTTGACCTGTCAGAAGTTCTGGCCTCATGTCCAGCGTGGAAGGAACTTGATCATAAGTTCCTTGAATATAAGATTCATAACATGGATCTTATTTGTACCTTGATCATCTAACACATTGTCTGGTAACAAGGTCCTATGTACTCATCTCAGACCTAGACAAATCTAACCAAAAGATAAAAAAAAATAGCTAAAAGACTTGAATAGAATTTTAGGCATTAGATATAACACCTCTGGTAAATTATGGGAATGAATAGGAAAGGAAAGGAGTATGTGTGTGTTTTTGTGTGCGTGTGTGCCCTTATGTTGTTTCCCTTTCTTTTCCCATAATTCACCTGAGAGCTATTATATCTAATGATTCAAACTCAAATCCTTAAGTTTATGTATAGATCTATATTATACATACATATGTACACATACATTTATGTATATATAATAGTGTATACACACACACACACACACACAAATTGTCCATGTTCCAATGCATAAAAATCTCATAAACACATGCAGAAAAACAGAAGTATTAAATGAAAACTTGGTTCACCTCATTGCATGAAAATTATATTTCATCAAAGGCCTTAGACATAAGAATTAAAAATTAAGTAGATACTAAGTAACATAATCCTAAAGAATTTGTGGGTCAAAGAACAAATCATAGAAACAATAAAATTTTCACCAAGAAAATGACAATGAGACAACATTCCAAACTTCTGTGATGCAGCTGAAATAGACCAAAAGGTCAGGGTGAAATAAGCAAAATCATTCCTTAGAACTCTGATCCACAGAATTCCCACCTTTCTGGGCCAGTGTTAATGATTATTCCACTACCATTCCCATCCTCTTAATTTACATTCTGTCACTTCCCATTGGGAACAGAAAACACCTACATTCCAGCCACTCTTAAGATTCTCTCCCTGTCATAAAAACAGCCAAGTCCAACTTACTGACAAGTAAAGGTCATTTGGTTGGATGGAATGGAGAAGGGAGAAAAAGAGTAGGGAAGAGAAGCCCTCTGTTGCCAAGGGGAGAGAAGGCTCCCCTGGGCTTACTGCCAAAATTTCAGCAGCCCCTCCTCCGTCAAATGAGAGACCACTGCTCAGATTCCACTGCTGAAAATCAAGCTCATGTTGATGCTTCTCGAAGACTTGCTGTATCCTGTCCTTCTTGTAGAGATGATAGCAGATCCAAGGATGTGGCCCTTTGTGGTTGAAGCCTAGTGAGGCTCAGCTCTATAATCCCATCCACTGCCTTGAGGAGGGGTAGCAGTGGGAATTGGATAAGAAAAGAAGGGAGGTTGTTGAATATTGAGCCTAAATCTGCTTAGACCCTGAATGGAAGGGACAGTCTCCTTTACTTACCAAGGTTTGGGGAACTGCAGGTAGGTTGGCCCTCGGGTAGCTTAGAAGGCTTTCTGCTTAACTGCCCAAATTTGCTCCACCTTCTGAGCTACCTGAGAATCATACATTCTACTTCTTCCAGTTTTTGTAACTGTTGGAAGGTTGGGTAGGTCTACTGTGATGTGTATGGACTGAGTGAGGGTGCTGTATATTAAATTTAAAGTAAAGCTTAATTTCTTCTTTTTCTTCTCTTTTAGATAAAATTGTGAATGTACATGTCCTTCTCCCCCACTGTGGAGCTCATGAGGAGATGGGAGAAGGACAGGGAAAAAGGCCTCTTGCAAAAAGTAATTTGAGCCTAGTCCTAAAGGAATTGATGGAAGCCAAAGCTATATTAAGGTCACATGAAGAGACACCTTCTGTTTGGTGTGGCACCCTACCTCTGTTGTGTGGCCAAATACCCAGGAAGAAGTAAACAGTTTAAAAAAATTATTTTTTGTCTGTAACATCGCCTTTGTGTCTGGATGTGTCCAGTCATCCCTTATGACAAAGAGTAAAAAACACCTGGTGATGTATGGATTGTTCTGAAACCCTAGTCCTCCACCTCTGCAAAGAGTGGTGGAGGTGCCTTTTCTCCTTTTTGGTTCTTTCTGCTAAGATTCTTACAGTCATTTCGTCCTTGTGCTGTTGGTCTTGCAAAACTAGCTTCTAAGGTGATGATAAACATCCTAAACCTGCAAACACTTTTATTTTTCCTCGAAGCTTTTCAGCAACGACAGTGTACAGTTTATTAAACCTATAATAATTAAAGCTGGAGTTTAACATTGCAAGGGGGTTTTTAGCTGAGGGAAGTCTGAAAGCATTCGTTACCTTTGAAGCTCAGGTTTCTCTGCTCACTAGCTGAAGTCGAAACACATTCTAGGGCATACCTTTGAAGCTCAGGTTTCTCTTCAGGAGCTGATATTGCCACACGTTCTTGGTTGGAAACTCTCCTGGTAGTAGTTGGAGATTGAGAACTTGTCAGTCATTGTAGCAGCTGCCTTAGACAGCATTGATATTTAAATAGGAGAAAGTGATCTGTTCAGAATTTAAAAGTTGTTACCCTGGCAGAGGGACTTGCTATCTCGTCTTTTATCTTTGCCATTGAAGTGATCTATCTGGCTGCTTATTCCCATGAGTTAGGAGGACGAGCTGCTTGTTGGAAAGCCTTCATTAGGATAACGATGAATGTTCCTAACAGTACGTAGGTTGGAGAGACAAGATGAAAGCATTCTGAAACCATTAGGTCTGGATAGATTTAATTAAAATAGACTCTCCTTAATTAAAACCTAGAAAGATAATATTTGAACTTTATAAAGTAAGAAAAGGCAAAATAGCATTATTTTTGTCATTTATTGCCCAATGAATAACATTTCAAAATTGCCTCAAGAAAAGGACCTTCCTTTTGTTAGTTTAGCATCTTGTTTCTGCCTTCACCTTTAGGAGTCCTTGGAGGATTTTTTGTCTACAAAGATGTTACTTTTTCTGGAATATCTCTATGTGCATGCACACATGTGTATATATACATGTATGTATACATATTAATACAAATGTGTATATGTGTGTACACACACGCACCCCTTTTTCCTCCTCTTGGTCCTTTTTTTCTTCCACTTTATCCTCACAAAACATAGGATTGTAATCTAGTGCTGCTAAGCAATTTTGAGGTCAACTAAAAAATTATTAATTTTGTGGGGTTTTTCCACATAGATTCCTTCTTATAAGGATTATTATAATAATTCAATCCCTGTTAGGCATAATTATCCATAGCTTAAATAGGAAACCTGGGTTGGAAACCTGATTTCTAGTGCTAATTGTTTCTGTCACCAGACAATGTGGATTTACAAGAGGGAATTTTCTCAGTTCATTTGGTATGCCTTTGGAAGCTAAAGCCTTCTGTTCAGGAAGCCTTTTGTGGGGAAAATGACTGTTTGCCACCCACTCTCAATTTGTGCTGCTTTGAATATTAACACACGCTTTGAGATAGCTTGGTATTGAGTGTGGCCTTGCCTCTGGTTAATTTGTGGCCTTTGTCTGACCGTTTTGGTTTAGGAGTCACGCCCATGTCATGTTTATAATTTCAAATCCTGAAATAACATATCTATTATGGTAATATTTACAGGTAGAGAATTCTGATTCATTGATCATCTGTACACATCAAATATCTGGAATATAAAGGATAGCCTTTGACAACATGTAAGGGATCTGGACCATTCCCTTACTTTTCAAGAGAGGATGATGGAGGCTCAGAGAGGTGTCAAACAGTGGCAGAGCCGAACTCCTCTGTCACAAGAGCCAGTGTTTCTTTCCAGTGGACCACATAGTGGGACGTGCCCATTTCTTGGGGCTGTCATACAAATCAGTACTGTCTCGTGTGCACAGACTTTTAAGAAAACAGTTGAATGGAAAGGAAGGCAAGGTTGTGGGGAGTCTTATGTCACATTTGGAGGTGGTCACATGCCTTCCTCATGACAGCCCAGTTGAATAGGATTACTACGTCCATTTTACAGAGGGCTTTGAGAAGTTAAGTGACTGGCTTCATGTTGACATAGTTGCTGTTTATGGGGCCTAGTGCTCTGTTCACCACAGAACACTTTCTGGCTTATAGTGAACCTCAGAGGAGGTGGTTCCCAAGTGATGGTGGAAGAGTAATAGGGAGTGACTTTACTGAGTGAGAGGATGAAGGCTCTTGAGGTGGCAGTAGAAGGAATGGAGAATATGCCATGTCTTCCTCTCTGTTGTCGTAAGGGGCATTGGAGAAGGAGCAGCCTGGCATAGGGAGAGAGGATGGACGGGGATAATTTATCTTCTGGAAGAGCCAGGTTTCCATGAGAGCAAGAAGATGGAAGTAGTGCAAGAGATCTGGGATGAATGGAAATTTGTTAATGATACATTAGGGACAGAGCAGTTTTGGGAAGCACAATAGAAAGGGAAGGACCTAGAGGAAAAGCAACAACAGAATGGTGGGATTGAGCTGGTTGGAGACGACAAGTGTGCTAGAGGTAGCAGGGGAAGGTGTTGTTTATCCCTTTGGGAGGCTGACTCTAAGTGATGTGAATTTGTTGGGTACAGAATTAAGGAAATCCTAGCTGATGGGGGCCCCAGCATCTTTCAGGATTGGGCCCTTTCTAGAGTTTGTCAGTGGTGAGTAGTGGGTAGTTCTGGTTTAGTGGATAGAATGCTAGGCCTGGAGTCAGGCAGACTTGAGTTCAAATGTGGCCTTAGACACTTAGCTGTATGACCCTGAGCAAGTCACTGAACCCTATTTGCCTCATTTTCCTCATCTGTAAAGTGAGCTGGAGAAGCAAGTGGCAAACCACTCCTGTATCTTTAACAAGAAAACCCCAAATGGGGTCATTGATAGTTGGACAGGACTGAAAAACAACCGAATGGTAGCAAAGTCAGCAGCTTTAACCAGAGCTTCCAGGCAGTTTGTATTCAAATGTCCAAATGATTCTGCCTTGTAACTAGCTGTTGCATAAGTCCACTTCTTGTCATTCCTTTTCTTAATGCTTCCTGCCCTTTTATGAATTTGCAGTGCCCAGGTAGAGTATGGCACTAGCTTCTGAGTGGTTGTGTTTACCTCTTACTCTTTTTTTTTTTTAAATTATTCTGGCTAGGCAATGGGATTAAGTAACTTGCCCAGGGTCACACAGCTAGTAAGCATTATGTCTGAGGCCAGATTTGAACTCAGGTCTTCCTGACTCCAGGGCCGGTGCTCTGTCCACTGCGCCACCTAGCAGCCCTGACTTCTTACTCTTCTCCACTGTTCTTTGCCCCCAAACCATTCTTCATGTTGTCGGCAGATTTAACACTCACCCATAAATTTTATCAAATTTTGGACTCTTTTTTTGATGACTTTTGTTATAAAAATTTTTTTAAAGGGAAATACAATAGCTAAATATTCATTAGCAATTGAATATAGCCATTTGCTCTAATAATTTTTCTTTCCTATGTGGTTGCATTATTTATTAACCATCAGCCACTCTGCTTGCTTTGGCCTCCCCCAGAAAAAGCTCATCCCCTGAAATGTCATCATCTTAGAGATTCATCAGCTTTGGTACTCAAGCCTTGCCTCTTGGCCTCTGATTGCAGGGTGGAGCAGTGAACACCTTCCAAGGCCTCCCTTCAGAGGGCTCAGTCTTTTCTAGCTCCCTGCATTTACTATCAGCTGCTCTGCTCAACTTCTATTCCACAAATATCGTGCCCCCCAGCCTCCCCAGCCTCTTTTCAGCTTCCTTTAGTGTGTTCTGCCATTTGATTGTAAGCTTCTTGAGGGCAGGGACTGTGTTTTTCTTGTTTGTCGCTCCTATGCTTAGCACTGTGCCTGGCCCAAATAAATATGTATTTACTATGTGATGTACCAATTATGGTGATTTAAATAAGAATTTCATTCTATTTGGGGTCAGTATTATGAAAAAACGGAAGTTTTTACTTTGAGACCAATCATTACCGAGTTTTCGAGTTGTGATAGTCTTTTTTTTTTTATTTGACGTTATACCTTTCTTCCCACTCCCATCAAAATATGCCTGTGGCATTTTGGTCTTTTTCAAAGGTATAGGAGACAAGCATTTATTAAACAAGATAGTGATAGCCTACATGAACTGTTAGCAATCCAGTTTACTTCTCTAGGAACTCAAGTTAAAGGCTAGGAATTGGCTTTGGTGTCCAGTTATTCGTTGACTTGTATATTAGTATTAATAACAAAGTTACCATAAATGCGAGTGCATTATCAAACATTTAAGATTCTTTGGATTTGGATCACGAAAATGAAACCAACCCTTAGGTTCACTTGTAAAGCATTACTTCTTATAATTCATCCCAATCTACAGAAGATTTTTATCTTCACTGTTTCAAACATTTTAACCAGCTTCTTTTTTTGGGTCAGTTTTCAGGATTACTTGACCATCTGTGCTTAAAAGAAGAAAAAAAAATCTGTACTGGGAACAAGTTTAATTTTTGTGACCTTGGCCCATCATTTGCAAGAAAGGCAAAGAAAAACCCAAACAAAACCCAAAACTTATTGTCTATTTCTGGTTAGGAAAATAAGCTTTAACCTATGAAACTCTTGAAAATATGACTGAACTTTAAATAACCCTATTACACTGATTGCTTTTACTCTCTGATTTGAAGGGTTCATCCCTCCTCTTAGATAACCTATGTAGTTAGTTGCCTAGTAATAGAATGATCTTTTGAAAAAAAGACATTTCATCAGTTTTATCCTTCCTATTAACATGCCTTTGTGGCAGTACTGTAACTTATGAATTATGCGTCATTATCTGAAAGTTATGACTAAGACCTGGGCTGTGAGAAGACCAGTGGTCTATGCCCCTGCCGCACTCCCAGTACTCTTGAACCTGTTTGCCTGTTGGTGGTGAAGAGGGTGGGCCCTTTATGCACAGTCATTTCTCCCCTTAATGG